GGTAGGTGGCAGTACTTACTGGACACTGCCCACATGCCTGTCCTATCCTGAGCTGTGGATATGAGAACAACACAGTTCAGTAATTCCATCCCCTCTTGCCTTCTCCTTCCATCAGTCACTGAAACAGGCTCATGTGGGGTCAGTGTGGGACATGTGAACATCATATAAGTGTTGCCATCTCTGTCATGCACTCAGGAAGAGAGCCCCTTTTACAGAGGAGACCAGGGAAGCCTCAACCAGGGAAGCCCAAAGGGTGGGCAGGCTCTGCTGGGGTGGATATCAAGGGAGCCTCTCTTGAAAGAATATACTAGGCAGAAAGGCCCAGAAGTCAGAGACTTGAAGCCTGATTGCAATGTGTGAAACATTCACAGACAGAGCCGGTGAGCAGCCGGGGGAGGACTATGTGCAGACAAGATTCTAGACCGGCAGATCTCATTCATCTTTGGTTACTTAACACTAATTACATTATCAAGATCTGATTGCATAAACCACAACCCAAGCCATAAAATTACACATCTGAATGAATTTATTTAAGAGTTGGGATTGTGGCTCAAGGGGAGAGTGCTTGTCTAATATAACATACAAGTGGGTTCTATCCCAGCACTAAAATTTTAAATGGACTTTAAAAACCTAACTGATACTTGAATCAAAGTGAATTCAGTCTTGTGTCACTGAAGCCTTCAGACAGACCACCAGAGGGAGCATCCATCAGCTGCAAAAACAAGCAAACCTCTTTGAAAGCCATTGGAAGCTCTTTCGGGCTTCCTAAGAATGTCATACCTACTCCCAGTAACTCTTCTAGAAATTTTCATTAACAAAAAAAATCAGACACACACACACAAACACACACACACATGAAAAACATATAAGTGGTCATCCTAGTGTTAACCAGAAGCAGTCTACATGTTCATAATGTGAAACAACTAAACACATATGACATATCTTTATAATGACACATCTTCATACAACTATTAAAGATATGTTTTCAGGGGCTGGAGAGAAGGCTCAGTGGGTAAGAATGCTTTCTGCTTTTGCAGAGGACCTAGAACCCACATTGGGTGGCTCACAATCACCTGTAACTTCACTTCCAGGGAGATCTGACACCTTTGCTCTTGTGGGCATCTGCACTCGTATGTATACACACACACACACACACACACATAATTAAATCTTTTTTGAAAGAGATGTTAGTTCAGAAAAAAATGGTGAATGATCATAACATGAAGTTAAGTAGAATGAACAAGTTACAATTCCAAATTTAAATATCTTGTTTTGTGTATGTGCACACACTTTGTTTAGTTTTGTTGGTTTTGTTTTTGACTTTTTGAGACAGGGTTTCATGTAGCCCAGGCTGGACTTGAAATCAATATGTACCAAAAATGACATTCAACATCTGATCTTCCTCCCTCCACTTCTCAAGTGCTGGATAACAGGTGTGCACCACCACATCTGGTTTATACAGTTCTAGGCATTGAGTACTAGGCTTTGCATGCTGGAAAACACTGTTCAAGTGAGCCCATTTTTAAACCTATTATAAGTTAACAGACTGAGGACAGGGACAAGAGACTAGGAGTGTATTACCTCAGTGGTAGAGTGCTTGCATATAATGTACAAGACCCTGAGTCCAACCCTAGGACCGCTTCCCAAAAAAATTCCCACCAAAATGTCAACAGCTATGTACCATAATGCAATCCGATGTTTGGGGAGGGGAACTTTCTGAAGTCCCTTCATGATGTCTTTAAACTTGGAACATTGCCATTAGCTTAGTGGTACCTCTGTCATGGGGACACTTTCTTTTATTATAAACAGGACAGCGTCTACCTCCTTCCTGACACTGACCTTTTTTTCCCTATCAGTCGTATGCTAATATTCAGTGTATATTCAGATCAGTTATGAGTTGGTTTTAGCTACATAACACAAAATCAAAATAACAATGGCTTTTTAAAACAATGGGTCCCCCCCCCAAGGAGGATACCCTAAACAAGCAGGCCGCTCCATGAACATTAGGAATCGGGTAACACCCCCCCTCATTCTTAGCGTGTGACTCCCAGATCTGACTTCTCACACGGTGCCAAATAGCTGCTGGTGTTCCAGCCATCATGTCCATATTCCAAGGAGAAAGAAGGCCAAGTGTCTTAGTTAGGGTTACTATTACTGTGATGAAACACCGTGGCCAAAGCAACTTGGGAAGAAATGCATTTATTTGGCTCAGACTTTCATATGGTTCATCATCGAAGGAAGCAAGGGCAAGAACTCAAACAGGGAAAGAACCTGGAGGCAGGAGCTGATGCAGAGGCCATGGAGGGGTGCTGCTTACTGACTTCCCCTGGCTCACACAGCCTGCTTTCTTATAGAACCCAGGACCACTAGCCCAGGGATGGCACCACCCACAATGGGCTGGGCCCTCCTCCAACAATCACTAATTAAGAAAATGCCTTACAGCTGGATTTGTTTCATAAATTATTATTTTACATCCCAGCCACAGTTTCCCCTCCCCCCTCTCCTCCTATTCCCTGCCCCCACACCCCTTCTGACCCACTTGAGCTGTTAATGTTAAATAAAGTTAAATAAATAAATAATGTATTTAACCTAGCTCACGTATGTAGACATTTCAAAAAAATAGTGATTTGGTTACTTTGTTTAAAAAATTATTTGTATTTTACTTTTTCTGAAAACTATTTGATAGTGAGTCAATAGGTCTGTTTCATATGAGAATGACCCACAATAGCCATACTTTTGGCTTTGAAGGAGTTGTTTATTAAGTATATAGCAATCAGGAGTGAAAAAACAAAACAGCAGAAACACAGTAGGACATCACATCAGATACAGCATCCAGCAGAAACTGACTGGGGAAGCTCCTACAAGCAAAACCATCAGCCAGTGTGTGCCGGAGGAGAAGGCCCCAGGCGGAATGTTCTCCTGGGGAGACTGGAATTAGCCGTCCACCACAGGCATTTTTATGTTTGTGTCATGGGGTAAGCAGGAGCAGAGCTGCTTTGAGGAGGTGCCTGAAAATGACTCACCCCCCAGCTTGTTCAAGGACTTGCGGTTTTTATCCTAACAAGCTGCTCTCCTGTTCTCCAGGATTGAGATCATTGCTCTTGGACTGGCTTCTGTTCTTTTCTGTTTCTCCCAGGGCTGGATAGGTAAGGGGCTTGGAGGACACACTGACATAAACATGCTTGAAGTGGGACAGGGGCAACCCAGCCTCCAGAGCTAGCTTCTCAGTGAGTTAAAACGTACCAAACAATTATATGCTAATATATAAAAGGTTATGAATATGTACGTTCTTACAATTTACTGATATATATTACAAATATGCAGGGTTGAGAAAAGCACTGGTTTTTCTCTTAAGACATGGTTCAGGACACCAGCAGCTATTTCAGGTTGTCAAGGTGGGAACCCCAAACTAGCCCTTGGCTCCACTCTCCACTCACTAGGATTGTGATAGGATTAGAAATCCAGAAAATGAATGGATAAATGAGGAAGAAAAAAAAAAAAAAACCTACCTAACACCAATACCAGACCTGAACAAAGTCCCAGCCATGCTCACCAAAGTGTTCACAGTCCTGCTTCCCAGAAATGCACCTTCCCAGGTTCCATCTATCTGGCATTCTCTGTGTTGATGAGAAGACAAGAACACAGACACAGAAGCAAGCTTACCACTGTAATTTCATTCAGAATCATTCTAAAGCACTTGTTGCTGGCAACAGAAGCACCTGCATCGATACTCCTTTCCACACTCTGCACTTAGATAATGTACCTGTTAAGTTTCCTGTGTGGGTGTCTACTCAAGTGCAGACCAAGGATAAGACAAGTGCACAGGAAAACAGGGAAGTCAGGAGAGCCTCTGCAGCAGCCACCATTGGTGGGAGCAAACCACACCGACCGTGTTCCTTGCTAACGACATACTCCCTTCTCTCTCTAAGCTAGAGCATTAAGGCAGGAAAAGGACCTGTGTGGTGGCGCACATCTTTAATCTCAGCACTCAGGGGCCAGAGGCAGGCGGATCTCTGAGTTTGAGGCCAGCCTGGTCTACAAAGCAAGTTTCAGGACAGCCAGGATTACACAGAGAAACCCTATTTCGTGGGGCAGGGGGGTTGTGGAAGGAGAAGAACCCTTGAGAGAGTCTGGATTCTGACACATGACCACTCTGGGTGGTAGCCCTGGCCTTTGGAAGTGTGCTCTTATTTGTCTTTGTAAAGAGCAATTTCTCGCCCCAGATGGTCCATAGAGAGTGTCCCAGTGCTGAGATCCAGACAGACGTCCTAATGCTCAGCGCTTTCTTCCCCAGTTTTGTTTGTTCCTTAAAGTATCGCCCAGGAAGTGCCTTTAGTGAAAAACCATGACAACGACTCTTTGTTTAGAAAAGGAACAGCCCTGCTTTGCTGCTCCAGCATCTGAGGTAGTGGGGGCATTGGGATAGCAACAGAGACACTTAATTAAAAAGAACACAACAGAGGGAAAGGGGCAGGAAAGACGGAGCAGGAGCAGCGAACACAAACTGACAAGCCCAGCGTAGACAGCACATGCTGCTTGCTCCCTGGAAAGGAAGGAATTCCCATGGGGTAAGAGCTCTACACATGAATGGCTCTGCCCGCAGCTGGCAACCAGGGAGCCTGCTTGATAGCCTTGCCAGCTCCAGATACCAAGACTGGCCATGGTGACATTTGAGAGAAATGGGGGGGGGGTCTCACTAACCTCCCATAGCAGGGCACCTGGAAGGGGGGTATTAAGGGAACTAGCAGTGGCACATGGGGATGAACTTTGTCCTGTGGCACCGTTTCCAGAGGCATCAGTCTGCCATGACAGGCACCTGCATGTAGTTGCTAGAAACGAAGCCAGGCTGGTGGCACACATCTATAATTCCAGCACCTGGGAGGCTAAGTCAGAAGGATGGCCAAATCAAGGCTAGCCTGAATTACATAGCAAGACACTGTCTCAAACCAAAGCTGACAGAGTCCAACAGTTCTTAACCTGTGTCTCTTCTCTGCCTTCAGGTGCATATTGGCCAACTGTATTCGACTGACAAGCTGATCATTGAGAATCAAGAGAAGCCCAGGACATAGGAGCCCAGCACTGGGAAACAGCCTCCAGCAGCAGAATTGACCACCTTCAGCATCCATTCTATATGGTGTGGATCCTCCCATTATGGGCTTAACATAGCCTCTTGCTCTGCCTGCCTTGTAGGAGCTGATAAACTGGGTCACATTTGCATTCTGTCACAGCCATAATGTGAAGAAATGGCTGTGCATTCTCAATCCAGGTGTCAGAATGAAGAGCTGGAGGTCACTCAGAATAATGCCATGTGTTATTGTGTCTCCTCTCCATCTCACCCATCTTACAGATCACCTATGTATAGAGCTTTTGCAGACTCTGTGTCTTAGTCCTTAAAATAAACAGAATTATCTCCCTACCCTTTTGTACCAAATAACCCCATTATAGTGAATGTGCATTTATTTCCTGACAAGACAAGAACTGTCAAAGTGGGAACCCAAAAGGAAGGTCCCACCACCAGCTAAATGTTGCCTTTGTGAAGGCAAGTCCAGGCACCAGTTCAGAGGCAGGCAATAAGGACCTGGATCAAGAGTAGCACAAGGTACAACCCCATCACTCAAATATACAAGCTCAGAGTCCCAAGCCCCTCCACAACCTATGCACATTGGAATCTTAGTTCTGGTAATCCCCAGGGGAGGCCATCACACTGAAGTTCGGGAAGTGCCTTCTTAGTCCTGTCACCCAGATCTGATTAACACCAGGGACACTGGGAACACCTTATGAGTACATATACCTTATGAGTACATCTCTTTTGCACCTTAGAGTCATCGGGAATGAAGTGCCCAGAGATTGAAATGTTTAAAATACAGTTCTGGTGGGGTGGGGGTGGCTCAGCGCTTGGGAGTGTGTTTTGATCTTGTAGAGGACCCAGGTTCTATTCCCAGAACTGGCATGGTGGCTGCCAACCATCTGTAACTCCAGTTCCAGGGATATGATGCCCTCTTCAGGCTGCTGCAGTGACCAGGTATGCACATGGTGTATGTACATACATGCAGACAAAATACTCAAGAAAATTAAACTTTAAAATTATTTTTTAAAAAATAAAATACAGTTCTCTGGGTGACTCTGATGATCAGCCAGTCAGCAGTGGCCATTGACTTGGAGCCTCTCCCAGGTACTGAAGATGTCATTTGCTGTAGCAATTCATTCCTTCCAAACACAAGGCACATACCACATAACTTGCTTAACTTGTGGGGAGTTTCCGGGCACCTGTCCCACTGGGAGAATTTCTGGTCAGTGTTCAGTAGTCTGGATTCATGTCACAGTTGGAACAGGCATGGAAGTAGTGCAGGTGCTCCAGTAGCTAGACAGGGTGTCACTAATTCTTGTGGCACCTGTGTGAATTGAATACAAGCCATCTAACTGCCACCCTCCCGTAAAAGTCATGGAAGTAGGGATAGGGATGTGAGTCCATCGACAGTAAAGTGCTTGCCGCACAGACCTGGGGACCTGAGCTCAGATTCCCAGCACACACATGAAAAAAGCTGGGCACACCAGCATGGTAACCCTGGAGGGGAAGGATCAGACAGGTGAATCCTAAGAGCTCACTAGCCAGCCAGTCCAACCAAATTGGTCCGCTCCAGACTGAGTGACAGACCCTACATCAAACATTAAGGTGAAGAGTGATTGAGGAAGACACTCAGTGACATTGACCTCTGACCTCCACATGCATGCACCACACATACATAAAGCCATGAGTGAGCCAGGTGTAGGGTTGCACATCTGTAATCCTTGCACTTGAAGGCTGAAACAGGAGCACTGAGTTTGAGACAGTTTGGGCTACATGAAAAGTCTAAGCACAGACTACATAGAGCCTGTCACAGGGGTTCACCCTGGTGCCTGTGCAGTACAGATTCTGCCATGGTGATGTCTATTTTGCAGTACAGCTTTCTTTTTTTAAACTAGTGTGCAAAGTAATGTGTTTTGTCTTAGTGGTCCTATTGCTGTGAAGAGACAACATGATCACAGCAACTCTTCTTTTTTTTTTTCTGTTGTTTTTCCCCCCCTCAAAAAAGGTTTTCTCTGTGTAGCCCTGGATGTCCAGGAACTCACTCTGTAGACCAAGCTGACCTCAAACTCAGAGTTCCGCCTGCCTCTGCCTCCTGAGTTCTGGGATTAAAGGCATGTGTCAACACATGCTCAACTACATGGAAACTCTTAACAAGAAAAGCATTTAAATGGGGCTTGCTTACAGTTTCAGAAGTTTAGTCCATTGTCGTTATGGTAGGGAGCATGGTAGCACATAGGCAGACATAGTGCTGGAGAAATAATTGAGATTTCTACATCTGGATTCACAGGCAACCGAAGAAGAGAGACACTGGTACTGGCTTGGGCATTTGAAACCCCAAAACCCACCCCCAGTGACACTTTTTCCAACAAGACCACACCTAATCCTCTCAAGTAGCACCACTCCCTGATGACCAAGCATTCAAATATGTGAGCCTATGGGGCCATTCTCAACTCCAGCCACCACAGATTTCATTATGGAATTTTCATGCCTGTGTGTCATACTTGGTTCTCATTCTTCCAGTTGTGCACCTCATGAGCTCAGAATTAAGTCTTGTACACCTGTAAGTAGTCTCAAATCTCATACCCTTGGGTCCACTCCTGGGAGCTGAGGTATTCGAGAAGTAGGACATTCAGCCTGAGTGAACAGACATGCTATGGGAAGTGTGCTCTCGCCTTTCAGCTGACGTGTGGAGCAGTGTTACCCAGCCCTGTGGAGGTGGTACTTACTGTTTATACTGAGCATCAATAAAATATGTACTCACTCACCATCTAACAACAATGCTATGGACAGTGCTCTCAATCTAAGTAACTGTATTGTGCAACCTAATTCATCCCCCTGAAAGTATCACATTGCAAGCAGAATGGTAGCTCCATGGGTGACTCCCCACAAGATCACTTCCACAGACCATCATGGAGTAAATTTGGCTTGACTTGCAAACCGTTGACAGCTGGCTGCTTTTGTGTTAATTAAACATCATAAATGGGTTTGGACATGCCCAAGGCTTGATAATATAGAGCTAATTCTTGTAACTTAGATCAAATTAACTCTGTATTTGAGGATCTGTACAAAGGAGAATTGAAACAGAAAAGCCCACAAACAGGAGTCAGCTAAGCAGAGCCTCACATTGGGTGTTCCCAGTCAAGGAGCCTTGATTCTAGGGCTTCAGAAAAAGTGGCATTTAACTGGTGTTTATAAAATGCAGCCAGCTGCCTGCCTAATAGCCCCAACTGTGGAGCTTGGGCCAGGCAATGTGATGAAGAAGCTGTACTACTTGCCCGGGCCATCTCAACTTTCCCAGAGTATGCCACTGCTCTGCAGGTGCCAGGGGCTCACTCAGTGTCAGCAGCTGCAGATGAAAAATGCCACCAAAAGTTCACCTCTCCAGAGGCAAAAACCACTTGCCAAGCAGCCATTTCCTAGACCTGCAGATGGCATTGGGTGGGCTTATCTGGTTCTTTAACTCTGGTTCTAGAACAACAGTATGTAGGCAGGTGTGAAGCTATATTGTTCTGATGGCCCTTGTGCTCTAGATGGTGGAGCTAAGAGAGAGCATCCTCAGGCCATGACATAGATTGATTTGCATATATGATGTCCTGCAGCAGTCACTGCTGTGGGATGGTCTGTATGTCAAATTACTCTGATTGGTCAATAAATAAAACACTGATTGGCCAGTGGCCAGGCAGGAAGTATAGGCAGGACTAACAGAGAGGAGAAAGGAGGGAACAGGAAGACAGAGGGAGACACTGCCAGCTGCCGCCATGACAAGCCAGATATAAGGTACCGGTAAGCCATGAGCCTTACTTATAGATTAATAGAAATGGGTTAATTTAAGATAAAAGAAGTAGATAAGAAGAAGCCTGCCAAGGCCATACAGTTTATAAGTAATATAAAGCATCTGAGTGATTATTTTATACGTGGGCTGTGGGACTGCGGGGGCTTGGTGGGACCTGGAGAGAAGCCCTCCAGCTACAAGTCACCTTTGGCCCTTTTCTCCATAGCCACACCCAACACGGAAAGCCTATTATTTCCAAGGATCTGAAACACTGCTCTTACTTTTTCCAGTGCTGCAGATAACCAACCCTATGTGTGCTAGGGAAGTGCTCTGCCATGGAGCTACAACCTTGTGTGTATCATGCCATAAAACAGTTTGGAAGACCTTCATAGAGACAGTTTACCTGTAGCTCTGTAGAACAGATATGCACCCGTAGGGAGAGCTGCCTATAGAGAAGGTTTTCTTTTTGATTGACTGTTTGGGGTTTTTGTTGTTGTTTTTTTTTTATTTATTTTACTTTTCTTCGAGACAGGGTTTCTCTGTGTAACAGCCCTGGCTATCCTGGAACTCTTCTTTGTAAACCAAGCTGGTCTTGAACTCATAGAGACCCACCTGCCTCTGCCTCCAAGTGCTCGAATTAAAGGCATGTGCCACCACTGCCTGGCTAAATGTGTAAGTTCTATGCAAATACAATGCCTTTTTATGTAAGAAAGGAGCATTGCAGATTCTGACCTCCATAGGAGCTCCTGGAATTAGTCCCCTGCAGACAACAGGTAACAGTTGTACTTCATACCAACTGCTATTGCCTTCTAGATTAAAGGACCTCTTAGGTATTGGGGCCAGGCTAAAAACAACAAAAGCCAAAGAGAAGATAAGACCCCCCCCCCAAACAGGTGGAAGTGTCTTATACTCAGGATAATATGCTCTGAATTTGGAAGCTCCTTTTTCTGGGGGAGTTAACTCACAGTCAAGTAGGCCCTTGAGAAATATTACCTGAACCCAGATGACCCCACAAACATACACCCAGCACTGGCGATACACATTATTCAAAACAAAGGGGGCAGCCAAGAGAAAGCCCTCTGCACATCCTGCCTCACTGCTAGCTTCGTTACTAGCCACGCATTTGCCGGTTGTTATAAATGAACTCGGTAGTGGAGACTGTGCTGAACGACAAAGCCGACCTCTCTCCCTCCTCCTCTCTGAAAGATTACCTAGAATCTATGTGGACAGTGGCTCACCTACACCTGAAAACATTAAGATCTTTCTTTCTCAGTCTTTGCAGCTTTATTAGTACTTCAGGGAGCCATTGATGAAAATTGCTTCTCGATTTGATATCCACGTACGGAGCTGGATGGATGCCTTGCTTTTGCTCAGGGACTCAGTTTCAAGTCCAAAGACCCTTCAGAGAGAACCAGAAGGAGAACATTCAATGATGAATTCGGCTGTTCCTTACCTGAGAGGACTGTTTTTACCACTGTGCAAACAGCAATGTCAGTGTCTCAGTCTTGAAACTGGATCACATGAATTGTCAACACTAATAGACCTGGAGTTGCACATATTGGAGTTTTTGTAACCAGATGGTCTCGACTGAACA